TGTACATGTCATTCATAAAATCTTTTATGCTAGAGTAGCATCTTGCAACGTTTATCTTATAGAAGATTAGAATTTCTCCATCGAAAAAATTGTTCGAGATTTTTCAATCGTCCGCAAATGAGTTAACTATATCATTTATATAAATCACAAAGACAAAAGGTCCAAGGGCCGACCTTTGAGACATTCCTCACAAAACAACAATATTGTCAAATCTAATACCAATTTTATTTAACACACCGGGTTCAATAAGAAATCATCGATTTAAGTAGTGAATCCAAAAAAAACCAAAATTACTCAATTTAACTAGTAAGATATCGTGATTAACACTATCGAAGGCCTTGAAAAAGTTTGTATTCTCTATTTTCTTTTTAAAAGTCCACCACTTGTTGATTTGATTGTAGAACAAATTGGAAATGATGATTTTTAAAATCTGTCACAATTTTTCCACCAATTGTCACTTTTCAAACCGAAACCATCATCTCAAAACGCAAAACAAGAAATTTATTTTGTCGCAAACTGAAAAAAGCCTTTGCTAAATGTGATGAATCAAAACGCACATCAACAAATTTTTACAATTTTTCTTCCAACTGCCGACTCTTCAGTTGTGAAGCTAATATCCGTTCGCAAAACTCCCGCACTGTCAGTGTCAGATTTAGAAAAAATGACCTGAGTGTACTCAGTGGTGAGATGCGGAAAACCTGTACAATATGTTGCAAAATTGCAATCTAGTGACAAATTAGTAACTAAAAATAACTTGTCAAATAAAAATGTCAAAAGCACATTAATTGAAGATTTTTATCAATTCAAGTAAAGAAAGAGTATGACACACGAACGACAACGAAAGCTTTTTTTGAATAATATATATTTTTGACCTTACTGTCCACTTCTACGCTTCTGGTGCTACAATTTGTTTGAATTGTTGAAAAGTTCTTTAAACACATTGAACACTTCAGCAATTCAAAAAGGTAAAATAGTTAATAAACATTTGATTTTTCATTCATTAATTTTGAAAATTTGAAATTCAAGGCGGTAATCATATAAACTTAAAAATCTTTTAGGGGATTATTTCTCATACCAACAGAATGTCATTCTGACAGTGCGGGAGTTTTGCGAACGGATATTACATCACAATTGACTAGTCGGTAGTTTAAAAAAAAAAATTGTAAACATTTTTTGATGTGCGTTTTTAAATATTTTTTGGGTCAAAATTTTCAATAATCATTATTTTAGATATTTCGAACTGTTCGCAGTATTTTACAAAGTTCTGCCAACTCTATCCATTACATAGCGATTAACAACAATACTTATTTCGCAAATTCTACATGTAATTACAAAGGAAGACAACTCTTAACTTTTGACAGACGCAGACAAATTTAATCTCTTTTTAATTTGTTTCTCCCAAAAAAATCACTAGCCCACGTTGCCGCCTATATTTTTGTAAGAAATTGCGACGTTGGTGGACGTAAAAAAATATATATATACTATATAAACTATGTCGACTTGAAGTTTTGAATCAAAACGGCCACAGACGAATTGTGAAAATTTGTGTAAATTTATTATTATTTTATGCATATTTAAGTACCTTGACTTACAATATCACTTTTAATTTTATCATATTTGCTATGCTTGCGCATATTTATATAGCATTTACGTCAAGTTGTTCAAACTCTTTCATCTAACCAATGAACGTTCACCAATTGGCTACGATTCACAGTGCATGCGCAGTTTATACTAAATTTTAAATTATGAAAGTTATAAAAAAGTTGAGGAACAGCGAGTTGACACAAATAGTTTTGCGATGGTATTTCATTGTATTGAGGACATTACTAATATCTGATTCTTTTTTAGGATGAAAGACCATATCATAACTGTCTCTCTAGGACGCACTGTAGTTTATCTTGAGGTTACCTTTTAGTTGATATATATTAACATTAGATGCATTTACTCTTTAAAATAGTAGAATCAATCAAAAATGAGCCCAATTTTTTGTTTATTATGTATGTCAAGTTAACGTAAGTAGTGCAAACTGTATCTTACATTGGAGATCAACGAAAACACCACTCAGTTGTATACAAAGTTACTGTTCTTAATTTGTGCTATTTAGTACACTCACCTAATTTCTTTCTGGCGTCCCATTCTTTAAATAGTTTTTACTTGTTTTTCAGGATTATGACTGATAAAATTTTAAATGCGTTAAGAAAGAACATAAATAATTAGTATCGAAAAAGTTTAGATTTTTTTGTGTAAATTTTTTATAACAACTGATTAGTAGATATTAATGTCGTTTACATGCTTTTAAACAATTGCACAATACACGTGAAGATTTGCAATAATCTAAATAAGTTATTCTTTTTATCTTTTTGTTAAAAATGTTACGTGGAGCGGTAAATGAAATCGGCGTGGGTAAAACTCAACAATTTATTTCTTAGTAACTCAAATTTACACGACTAATTGCACAGCGATTATGTACAGAATAATTTCGACTCGACTGGAATGAATTTGACTAGACTCTACTTCTCCCATTGACTTCACTTGTTGGCTGAGACTGACTCGTTCTGGAAGGTGGTCTCTATTTAAACCCATACTTCGCTTCTAGACATTCTGCGGTCGACGTCTTTCTAGAATACCGATACCGCGACTTCCAATTCCAGGCTTTTCTTCACCCATCATCGCCGCACATACTAGAAAACCCATAAACGGAAAAAGGTCAAAAGGTCGCTAAGCTTCCTTTCCGAGTGGAATCCAAAATATAGCCATTAACATAAAGAAAAGCCTCAATTTTAATATAGTTTTGATAATTTTAAAACTCTCACTTTTATGGTTAATTTAGTGATTTATATGCCCAGTGATAGGTTGGTATGTATTTTTAAAATTTTGCTCTCTAACTGAAATACACAAAAGTTTCTATACAAGAAACGAAACAAATTCTGAAGTAGTGATCTTTTTGAAATTATATGTGCATTTTTTAAAAAAAGGGTGAAAAAATGAACCTGGTGCCAAGGGTAATTACTCTAACCCCCTCCTTCCCACCAAAAATTCATATTTTTATATTTAAAAATTAACGTTTGGCTGCAGATACAGCCAGATTGTTAAAGTCCCCCTTAATTTTTATAAACTTTTCATACGTTAAACATTATTTACATTTTTAAGTTAAATTTTATTAGCAGTTATAACTTTTAAGCACCACACTATATTTTGAGTGCACAATTGTAAAATATTTCTTTATACCTACATTATGCAATATTATTATATCACATATTTATATTTTTTAAACTTTGGTATTATATTGCGTTTAACATTTGAAAGTTTTGTTTTATTGCATAATTTTGCAAGTTATTTTTAATAACAATATTGATAAACAATATGTTGAGAAAGATCCTACCCTACAGCCCCCCCGACAATAAAAATATCTACGATGTTGCCTGGTGCCATTCTTTCGGCAATTATCGTATGTTAATTACATACGTACAGTGTCGTTTCGTAAAAAAAATGTGTCGTATGTTTCTGCGTCGTTGGTCGTTAATATTAATTAAATCCGAAGATTGCACCGTTTTGTTACTTGCTAATCGTGTTCGTGAGATACCTTGTAACTTGCAAGAAAAAATAGGTTTATTTGAGATAAGAAAAGTGGAAAAAAGTACGTTCGAATGTTCCGGAATGGTTTTTGTCTTGTGTAAAAAAATATCCGCGAGATATTAATTCCATAAAAGACGTAAATTTTATCTCTGAAAAGTATGTCGTCTTGAAACATTTGTACGTTTTAATTATCGCTGGAAATCCACCTCTCATGTCCCTAAATTAACAAATTTCTTTGTTATGGATGAATGATGCAGTCATAGTCGTATCACAAAATTCTCAAAAAATGTGTTTTATTTTTTTAATTAAATTTGAGTGCTCAGCTAGCCTTTTAAATTAATAGGGATTATGATTAAAATCAAACAAAAGCTAAATGGTGTAATAACGAAAGAAGTCACTGAAAAATTTTGCCGACGCATTTAGGAAAACAAAAAGTTTCATTTCGTAAGTCTAACTGTGTGCATAGATAGTGCAATCATGTAATATGGTAAGATTTATGACTTTAATGTTTCCCGGCAATATGACTATTCAAATATTTAATTATTTTAACACATTCATTGCACATGGGAAGTGTGGCTACGCCTGACAGTTGTAAAATGCAATAGGCCACAACAATTGTATTTCGTTATGTTAAAGTTGATGAAGTTTTCAAACTGCCTACATTTCCAGTAAAGCATTTGGTAAAATCGCCACGTATTGCGGTGCGAATTAAACCAGCGATCATCTGCCGAATTTGCGTTCACGTTTGAACTGAATGGAGCAATAATTAGACCGATGTCGAGCCACATGCTCGCAGGTGACCGTTTGTAACAATGGGCATAATTAGAGAAACTAATTGACCCGTTATAAACGCATTATTGGACTTGATGTGATACGCTGTGGGCGTCAGCTTTACGACTATCACGTTGTACAGGCGAAATTTGTATCTCATTAATCCTCGAATACTCCTAATCTGAACACAGCTCCGCCACGCCTTTATTTTTCTTATCTCTCGCATTAGCGTTAAATTTAATCAACTTGCTGTTGCATGACAATAGCACCCGGGAGCCTTTTATAGCTAGGTGCGAACTGAAATGAAGCTATTTTTGTAAAATATGACGCCATCAAATTGCAATGGTCCGAAAACCGCATTAGCATTCCAAATGGTATTTTATCTTTGGAAGGAGCGGGTATCTATGGCGCTTTTTAATCTGGATTAATCTTGAAATATTCATAAACCAAGAGCAGCAAGGGCGGTTAAGTGGATAACCAGAGAGACATTGTAATGTCGGGGTAAATTGCTAACAGTCAGCAAAAAGCTGTAATTAGTTTAAATTACGTAGAGACTTACTAAGGACAGATAACAAGATTAAACGGGGCGGCCTCTAGTAAACACTTTACTGCAAAAATCTATTTTTACGGTTTCTCCGTCTTTTTTGTTACAGAAAATGATGTATCACCGCCCGTCGAGGAACAACCGATTTACGACGAAAACGATGAGGGTAAGTTTACTGACCATATCTCGAGTTCGTGTCGATATTAAGACTGGTTTACACCTGAGACGGACGTGCTATAAAACCGCAGCAATCCACAGGCATACAAGTTTTATTGTAGTACAATTTCACGTATTCGAGTAAAAAAAACAATGTTAAACTAGTCTACATAAAATTTTCACGTAATTTACCCGGCGCATCCACCATTGTTCAGTATTGTAACAATATCATTTCGTTGTTTCAAATAAAACTTTTACATATATATCGTTGCAGCTGACCGTAGTAAATAAAAATAAATAAACTCTATTTCCTGTTTTTATTGCTTGGTTGTTGTTGGTTGGCTAAATGGTACAAACTTTTGTTACCCTCTTGCGAATCAGATTTGCTTGTTCCTATGAGAGGATGCAATGGTATAGAGTACGTTTTATAGCTGTCTTATTTAACCATGTCTTATAAAATGTGTTTTTGTAGACGTAATGACAAAAGACAGTGTACATCCACAGGACAGTTAACATTTTCTACTAACTTTACTATTAATATCAACATAGTAATACAGGAATAAGCATAAATTCAACAAAGATTAAAGTCTTGTCATTTTTTTTGTACATAAGGAAAAATAAATTTGACGTGTATGACTTGAAATCTAATAAGCGTAGAATTTTTCTCGCGACAAATTATTAAACAAGACGTACTAACACCACTTTTCTGTTTTAATGAAACTCAAATCTTATGGTTTACGATGTTACCATAATGAGATAATAAAAATCACTGACCGGTTGTCGATATTCCAACCCATAACAACACATGTTTTAATTTTTCTAAACAAAACTTTTGTAGAAGAAGACGAGGAAGATATAGAAGACCACTATGGGGAAGTAGATTTCAGATTTCAAGAATTTGCTGATAGGTAACCCGTCCAAATTACCCCTCTACTTTGAAAATCATCTCTTAAATTCCAGACTGACTCACCCCAAAATCGTAAGAGCTTGTGGATTAGCTTTACGAGACTTTCAAAGCAACTCTATAAATACAAACAATTGTATCATTAAACTTCTGCATCGAATAGCATTCGATTGTAAGATGTATGTAATGGTTTTCCAAGTATCAATTTTCAGAACATTTCAGAAAATTTATGCCAACAAGGATTTCCCCGAATATCGTGTAGGTAACAAGGCTGGAATTTTAAACATCTATTAACTGCCGAATTGTAGGAACTCGTGAAATTCGCGACTTACATTATTCGGCAATTTATAAAAGTTACAGAAGTTAATAAGAAGGTGTATATGGAAAGTTTATTCTTTAAGAATCGTGGCGAAGCTTACGAAATCGAATATGGATATGGAAGTAATCACAAGTCGTAAGTAGAGACATTTTCTTACAATTCTTAATGTTGTTACGACGGAACGCGACGGTTTTTGCTGGCGTTCATGGGTCGGAAGCTATCATAAAAATGCGAATTAAATAATTAATTATTAGCGTTGAAGGTTAATGCATTTTCATTGTAATTTTTCTATTTTGCATAAATTTAAATGCACATGTGGCCATTAAAATGCCTCTAGGAATCGCTAATGGACGCCCTGATAACTTGCATTCACGAGTTACTTTGCACGTAAATGATTACTGAAGTGAAGCAATTATTCTTAAAATCACTGACGTGGACATGTAGATTGCGTATAATTATTTTTAGCTTTGTTTACTTGCTTACCCAGAACTTTGATTTAAAATTGAATATTACTCGAGTTCACGTAACTGTATTTATTTGAATTTTCACGGCTTGTTTAATCTATGAAATATGTGCTTAAAATTGTTTTAACACTTTTTTAGATACTCTTTTATATTGCATATTATTTTCAGCTGGGTAGAACGGGTTTTCATCTGCTGTATTAGTTGTGATCTAAGTTGCATAACTTACACTGTCCGCATTTTCTGTGCGTTAGTTAGACAAGTGTTTAAATTCTTAAAATTTAATAAAAATATACCACGTTAACAAATTTTCGTGATTATATATCGGTGCTCTAAGGCCCGAAATGGTCAATTATCTTCAGTATTTGACAAGCGATATTTTTCAAATTTTTAGTTATTGTATAGTTAGCAGTAATTATAGATAGCTGCTTATTAGTCGGACAACTGTTTAAATTGTACTTTTTCTTGTATTTTTCCATTCTGTTTGTTTTAGTATGTTGATATATAAATTGATCAACTAATCAATAATAATAATAATAATAAAAGAATGAAAGATTTTCTGATGAATTTTCCGTTTTTTTTTTATATGCGTACTTCCGGTTTAGTCTGAAATGTACCCAAGTCATTTGTTGTTTTAAATAGTTTGTTTATTTGAAGAACAAAAAGATTCTATTTCCAGAAAAAAAAAATCGAAATAATAACTATTCTTGTAAGATTGATATACTTCGGACGCACTGATAATCTTAATGGAGATCGTAACATATTAATAACACATACCTATGTATATAATGTTGACCATGACCTAACCGATTATTGATATGTTGTACAACACTTTCTGCAACTTGTGGAGGAATTTGCCATATCTCTTTTATGAACATTTACATTTCAAACTTTCCGAAAAGAAAACGAGTGGCGGTAAGTCGGGGGAACGAGGAAGCCATTCAATAATACCTCTTCGACCCAACTATCTTGCCCGAAATGCTGCAGCCAAATAACTGCTCACATCTAACGCAAAATGCAACTAAGCTCGATCTCGTCGGAAACAAATATCTTCAGGTCACATTAGATGATCAATTGCGTTTGGAAACAACCGCAACACCTCACACAATTTCATTTATCAATAAATTGAAAAATAAAGCTGGTAATTTAAATTTTCACCTATGAAAAATTATTCGATTATTAGACCAGTCGCTGCGTTTGGCTCATGGGATTTTCAACATATAAAATTTTCAGAGCGAAATATCTCCGTTATTAACAGAGTTATTGTTACAAAATTTTAAATATATATAACCTATCCACAGCTTTATATAACGCAAAGAAAATTTTGTTGTTGATAATTTTCATTACGTATCTTTAAAAATCAATAGCTCAATTATTTAGGAACATTTCGGAATGCGGTTCACAAGTAATAAAAACTGCCGCTTTAAAAAAATGACGTTCGGCTGATTTCAAGCCATTTTAATCCTGTAAGGAGTAAAACAATATGTACGACATTATGGCTTTCTGCATATTTAGATCCGTTTTATTGAAAACGAATTAAAGTTAATTCGCGTTTAACTCTTAATTGAGGTCCGTTGCTAGGCAACGTGCATGCTTTAACCAATCACGGGCTCATATTCTACATTTTAATCCTCTGTTAAGTTAATCGATGATTAAATAATTATGTAATTCGTTTTCTATAAACCGGGCCTTATAGTATCGCACCAGAGGCTGTTTCATTAATCAATAATGACAACTTAGACATACATATAAACAAAATGTTGTGTGGAATGTCCCTTTACATCAGCAGTGGCCAAAAGGATTTGCTTCATCATGATACAAAAAAAGTTTCAATTTGCACATTTTGTTCATGAACTCACCTAATTGCTTATAAGTTATCATTCATACAGGACCCATAATACTCCTACTGTGTGTAACAAATTATGTAAATTTGGGCTATACTTGTCTATAAAAAAAAGAAAATAACAATTTTGAAACAAAGCAACAGTTCCAAAAAAAAAATGGGTTCCAAAATAAATAACAGTTATTAGTACAGAAATCGTTAATTATCTATTTCCAACGTAAGCAGTTACTCAGTTACGTTAAACAGTTGTGATTAATAACTAATAATGGTGACAGCAAACTAAATTTTAGTTTAACGACTTCATCAATCAAACTGTCTTAACAAAAACTTATTATTTAAGCTTTACCACAGAATTTTGATTGAATAATAAAGATAAAAGCAAATAAAAAGACATTTATACATTGTATCGGAATTTAAAAAAATCTAAATTAAGTATATTTTCTGCAAGTGAAATGTGCGAAACATTCGCAGGCATTTTAGTTCCTGTATTTATAGTAAGACTACATAGTTTTTGTAGGTCTTTAGAAGGTACAAAATGATTTGTATTATTTGTCAACTCATCGTTATACACATGTGTATACATTATACATATATAAATATAAATTTCAAGCTTTCAATTGAACTGATCGTAAATTGAAAATTACATTATGTTATTCATGAGCAAACTTGGGTTAATCAGATTTTAAGAATAGTATATGCGAGACTTTTATTAATAAAATTTATCAGTCGAGTTTAATTAAAAAAAAAAGTAAACTGCTTACAGCGTCTGGCACTCTTATTAGCAACAGTTTGCTTTTAAAACTTCTATTTGCGACAGTTTGTTTCTTCTTGCAACGTTGCCCTCGTTTCAGTCTTACATGTCCATCGATTAATTCGCGGCCGCCGCGCTGTTCTCTTCTATAAAATGCAAATCGCACGATGAACACCCATCCAGCCCGAATGATCCTTATTTTATTATCAAAAATATTCATGAGGCGTAACGAAACGCGGTGCTTTCGAAAAAATAAATTCCTCCCGTAATGCGGTATTCGTTTGTAAATGCTTTTTCGGCATTATCTTTTTAATGAAGGCGCTTTAAAAAATGCTATAAAATTAAAGGGTGTCTTCGCGATCGTGGACCGAGGAGGAAGAGGACGAGCTGAGACGATTATTTATGGAACATCAACAGAATCAATTGGAAGAGGGTAGGTATCTCGCGAACTCGAAACCCATCAGCTTTTCTTTGTTCATATCACGTTTGACTGACGTCTCATTTACAGACATCGTCGATTGGATCGTTAATAATCTCATTGATAACACGCGAACTCGACGTGGAGTGTTGAAAAAGCTCAAAGAAATGTGTCTCCTCGTCAACTACAAAGGGCAGAAATCGGGGGCCAGGCGCCCTCAGAATTGGGGCTCGGAAGAAGAGACGCAATTACGCGAATTGTACCAGCAGTTCAGGGATGCAGCGGGTAAGATGGATTGTCATGGGGTTTTTATTAGGGGTTGTGCGTGAAATAATCTACTTACAGACCCGCTGGGCTGCATAATGGCCAGATTAAACGTTGAGCGGTCGAAACCCAAAATCGTGCAGAAGCTGCTTGAACTAGGCTTGATACAGGACAGGGCCGAGGTCCGAAAGAAGAGGACGAAATCAACCAAGGGTGAGTATAATTAAATAGGTGGGAAACGGCCTACGGTGGTTTGAATAATTTTTATTCGGTTGTGTGTTTGCTTTGGAGGTTTTGAATGTTATCCCTCTGCCATTATTTTTATTGAGCTTGCAGGAACACTACCTGTTAGGGTTTCCGGCATGAAAATACGGCCAGGTAATTAATTTCAGTGTGAGGGAGGGCTGACGGGTCTATATTCACTTACGCGTCTACATTGAGAAGCCCTACGGGGTGTTTATGCTCACTTGGGGCATACCTTTGTTGGTTCCTTAATAAGTCACGTTGCACTATTAGAAAATCTGCTTTTTCTCAATTAAAACATCGAATTATATTAATAATAGGTTTACTGGTGCTTTATAATAAAGCTTTCCGCAGTCAGTTTAACAAGTTATAATGAATAACAAATAATAATAACTTAATAAGTCTAAAAACATATTTACAAAACACAAATTACAACTTACGATTCGTGAATTCATCATACGAATAAAGTGCTCCGTAATATCTGCGGGTTGTCGTCGTCCTCAAAAATCGGTGTTTATGGCATGTTATCTTTATGTGTAGTGGTGTGCGAATGACAGTCACTAAATGTTAAATATTTATCTAAACTTTTTTATGCAGCAGGGTGATTGTAAATAATGTGAATGAAGAAAGTAAAGTTAAATGTTTTAAACCCGGTCTACACAAGCTCAATTAAATATTTGACTACGATGAAATTTTTAATACGGCACATAACCGACTCTGTGCCAATCAGACGTCCCTAAACGTCTCGTTAAATGCGTCATGCACTTAATCTCAGTTAAAATATTCTACAAGGTGTTTCAAAATGATTTTCATCTAGTCGCCTATGGATTTTCCATGCAAATTAAAAAATGTGAAGATAATGACTGGAAGTTAATTGTAATTATAATTGTTGGTTGCATAACTACAAAACACTCTTGAAAAGTGATTAGATAATGATGTAGGTATTGAGGACAACTCGATTGCTGGAGAGATAAAGCTGACTCAAACTCCGCTTAATTTCTCTGTTTGTTGTTTAAATTTGTTCCCTGTAATTGGCGATTTTCTGTTTAACAAAGTTGGGGATCTTATATTGCGCATGTCACAAGTAGGCATAAGACACAGCGGTTTTACTTTTTCTAACTTTCGCACCTTAAACGTTTCTGTAAAAGTTAAAACAGGAAGACACTTGCAAAGAAAAACAATTTATGTTGGCTATGAAACAGGGCGGAAGTCATTATTGTGAATTTTACAATAAGTGTTCGAAGTGACCACCATTTTGCTGTATACATAAAGCCACACGACGTTTCATATTGATAAAAATATGTTGTAATGTGTCCATGTTCCAGACAGTTGTATTATCAACTAAAAGGAAAGAATTTTTGTTATCCAGTGAACATCGAAAATCTCTGGTAAATATCAGAACTCTAAGACAGAAGCATGATTACCTTAATTATAAGTTTTAATTCAGTAAAATAAAAGTAACAATTTGTACGTGATTTGTTAGAAATGAAATGATCAATTTGGCACTAGCAAGATGTGCATTGAAAGCATTCATTAAAACACACCCAAAAATGATGCCAAACTTCGAAAACCTGAGATTTGAACAACCCTAGGTCTGTATCAACTGCAGTCAATAGAAACGAACACTTACTGAAAATATTTCGATTTTATAGTTTCGAACTATTCAGATTAAGTAAAGTATAATGTCGTAATATATTCCTCTTATAAAAAGGCCTTCAAACGCTTTTTAAATATTAAAAAACTGTTATTTTCATGGACACCTGAACTTACTTTAAAAATCCTAATAACTCCTTGCATGTTTCTTCTTCATATATTTTAATTTACTGGTTAATAAAAAATATCAAATTTGCAAATATAAAGAATACTGAAGGCGTATCTAAAAATATTGTTACGAAATAAACTCATACGCCGCCCCGGTACGACGCCTATGGGTTTTCTAGTATGTGCAGCGATGAAGGGTGACTCATCGTCGGTGACGGCGACTGGACGGCGTTCGCATAAAGACAAGTCTGGAGCGGGTTATTGGAAGTCTCGATTGCGGGGTTCAGAAAAACCTCGAAGCGGCGTTCGCGAACCATCCAGAGGAATGTATGGGTTTAAGTACAGGCCACCTTCGGGAACGAGGGAGTCTCGGTCAACGAGTGAAGTCCAGACAGTGGGAGAAGTAGAGTCTAGTCAAATCTATTCCAGTCGGAATTATTCTGTACATAATCACTGTATAGTTAGTCATTTCAATTGTTGAGTTTTACCCACGCCGATTTTTTAATGACCAATCAACGTAACAATATAATTAAAATGTGTATTTTATTGAGTAGTTTACCAAGATTACAGGCAAAGTATTAAAAATTAACACCACAATAAAACATTTACTTTTCGTTACTAAATCTTGTAATTTAATTTTCGTTTTCATTAGCCTATTTGATACCTTGATGAAATTTAACCTGATTCACATTTTATTCTTGAGCGTATCAAACTGTTAGTTAAAATTATAAATCAAATACTACGATAGTATAAATTGGTGTTAATAGTACAACAAATTTAAATTAAGTGTTTTAAATCACAATCAGCTTCTACTCCTTAACACCAGTCGGTTCGATATAATATTTCACCATTGATCAATTTTCGCATCCGACTTTCGCTCTCTTTTAGTTCTCTGCCACTGTCAGAACTTGTAAACGGACTTGGTTTTTGAAAATCTCCAAAAGCAACAATCTACGGGATGATTCCATTAAGAGAAAAACCTATGCCATTTCCAGAAAAATCAGATGTAATACAATGTCAACAATGTACTAATTTTATAGACCCTTCAGTTACAGTTAACCCTGGCAAGTTTCAACCTTTTTCAAACAACTGTTAGGACGGAATAGGGCAATTGGGACGCCAGTCTAAGTTGGAGAGCAGAGTATAGATTCTGGGACAGCAAAAATACATTCAATAAAGTTAGATTAAATGCCAAGTTTAAGTGGCTATATATAAACAGAAGGCACATATTTCTGTACTCTGTTGAATTAAAAGTATTATTGTGTTCCTCCGAAAACGAAAACTAAAAATGTATTTGTGGAATGATTTCATATCCCGATTTGGTGTAATTACTCTTTCGTAAAATGAGCAACGTTGATGGTCATTTTCCCCATCAAAAAATTACGTTCATTTTTCTCCCAATTAGAAATTAATTAAAGCTCGTGTATGTATGCATTTCATTTTAAATTAATTTCAACCGCATCGCGCCTGGCGCTTAGTCCTTGCCGTTGCCCCATTTATAATTCACGCATGAAAGGATACGTTTAAAGTGGGAACGGTCAGCGAGGGGAAATTAATAATGATGGAAACAAAACGTCTAGCGCGCAGTTCCGACCGCACTACCAATTATATAGGGATAATTGGAAAGTGGCGTCCGTCGGTCGTCGGTCACCAAGGACAATGACAGTTTTGGGCCTGTGCCGTTGTTGTTGTCGGTGTCGGGGGCACGCACGCACCTTTCCTTAATTGATTGTGTCTGCCGGCGGCGACCGCGATGGCTTTCAGCCCTCTCTTCCCTGCCATTCATCACAACGTGTGCTGCGGTGACTAATGATACGCCCTTGGGGCATTGCCGCTGCACGGGCTCGAGTTCACGCCGTTCTTACATCGTCATAATGTAATTTGCGCCTTGTTAAGGTCTTAGTTGTTTCCGAGCAGGTCGTTGTGTTCGAATAAAGCAACGCAAAAAATGACGCCCTCGCGTCGTCCCTAAAAAATTATAAGAGAAGTATCAGCCTTTGACACGGCGGAAAATTCGATAAAGAGTGATTGTTTTTCATGTGCAGGAAAGGGGATTCTCGCAAGGATATATATTACTGTTACATGAGACCCCCTACTGTGGACGAAAAACGTGGGACGCCTATAGAGTGTGAAACGTACATCATGTGAAGGACGGTTTTGGTACTACAGCGTTTGCAAAGCTGCTAGAAATATGGACCAATTCAAAAGTACGAGTATATAATACGTTCAAATCGATAGATCACTTGAGAAAATAATACCCATTAAAATTGGTGTAACGATGAGACTTGAGTCGAAATGGAAAGTACCTACAGTGATGGCACACAAGTTAAGTTAATAGAGCCACGAAGAAATATTGATAAGTTGTGAGCATCGAAGAGAAAACTTTACTTTAGTTCAAAACAAGTTTTTATATCTTCAGCGTTATTAACTTTTAGTCTGTATGTACATTTAACTCTACGCTCACGAAGTAGATCTAAATTTTAATTCGTAGTTATTATCCATAATAATGGTATTTAATGTTGCTTTATTTATTTGGTGAGGACCTTCGTCAGGACGTAAATTATTCTTATTATTATGTTTCTTCGTGAAAAACGTGATTTGTAGTTTCCGAACGTAAGCTAGGGAAGCATTGGGCCGTATGAATAAAAAGAAGCAGTTGCTCGTGAGCATGAGTACGAAGTATGAGCACATGCTTAGAGTAAAAAGTACGAGTATGAGCACATACTTCAATCACTATGAATAAACTAAACCTTTTACTTAAGAGCATTTGCTTCTTACTCTGGAGCAAACGCTCATATTCGTTATCTTCATAAAAACACCCATCGATAGCTTATTTCCTATAAGAACGACGACCATGAAGAGATTATTTAAAAAACCACAATTCGCTATCCATGATTTTCATCCTTAGTTCGGTTATCATCAGTGCATTGTACAGATGAGTTCGTCAAGTGGCTGTGAATCGCCGGGGTCCGGTGCTGGGAAAACTGCAAATTCCCAATTATTTATAGTCCGAGAAATCGAAAAACGACCTGAATTACTATCAAAATCTCAGTTACCAAATGAAAAAGCAAAAAAAGAAAAATCCTTACTGGAGGTGGTGGAATTGTATGAAGTCCACTTAGGGCGTCGCATCAGCCAACAACAGTTGAAGAAAAAAATTAACAATATGAAATCGCGGCTCAAGAAGAAGACCGACAAACAGAAGACCGGAAACAAACGCATTACTTTGCATGAGTGGGAGAAGGTCTTGTATAAGATACTTGAAGGAGATGATAATCCAACAATCAACAAAATCCCGGGTAGGTACCTATCGCATCTGTGTTTAATACACGTAATATACCATTTTACATAATAAACTCTATAATTCTATAAAATAACATTTTTTTGTAGAACCTGCTGTAGCAGGTGTGGCGAAAAGGACACAAGAATGTGAGCCCAAACACAGAGAGAAAAAGAACTGTGAAAAGAGTATACGTTCTCCCGAGCCCAAGAAGTCAAAACTTTACAACTACGAGACTGAGGAAACACACAGTTTAACCACAACGGAACTACAAAGACTTGTGTTGTTGGAGCAACTAAAAGCCGCAAGGTTGCAAAGAGAGTATATTTTGAAGAAAATGGAACGACTGTAATAAACTGATAGTGATAATATGTGTATTATACCAAATAAACGATATTTAACAATGCATAACTCTTTTTTGTCTGTTTTAATTAAGAAACGTCTTCTAATAAAGGTGACGTCGAACAATTATATCAGCAATTTCATCTCGTTTTACACGTGCACGTTGCAACATCTCGTTGTCAGGGATATGTTGATTTTGATTGTCGTCTTCATCATTTTCATCAGTGTCGTCTTCATCTTCTTCTTCAGGAAACTCTTCATCTTTAAGATGCTTTGCTATGTTGTGCATGATGAAACAACAAATAATAATACGTGATATTCTCCTAAGTTTTAATCTGCATATATATTTCAGTATAGGAAATCGCCGTTTCACTTGGCCAAAACAGCGTTCAATAATGCAACGTTCTCGTTTCAACAGACGATTATAGTGTATTTTTGCTTCGGTATCTGTGTTTCTATACGGTGTCAATAGTGACAGTTCCAAGCCATATCCCTGATCCCCCAATAAGCTAGCATTCGGAAACTTTTGCACAACTTCCCGAATTGTGGAGTTTTTCCATACTCTAGTATCATGCACCGAACCTGGCCAACTGGCATCAACACTTGTAAACATTTCTTGGGCGTTGCAAGTCGCTTGAACATTGATACTGGGCCATCCTTTTCTATTGATATATTCATCCCCATGACGACCTGGTTTTTCAATTCTAATATGATGATACAATGATCCCCGGAAAGTGATTGACATTTTGCCAGTCTTCTAAAGCCTGCAAAATATCTTGTTCAGTGTGAGGAAATTTGATCCATGATGAAACTTTTGCCGTGACCCTTGTTGTGACAAATGTAACTACTTTTGATACTGTCGACTGATGAACGCCTAATTCTTCTGCTATTCCTGACTGAAAACCGGGATTGGCTAAACACCTCAAAAACATTTTCATTTTCATTTTTGGCGACAAAGCACCTTCCCTGGTTTCAGTACAATCATTTAAAAAGTAATCTGCTAACCAAGTAACATTGTCTGCAGAAAATCTGCAATACGTGCTATTAATCGTAATATAGTTATAATGACAAATGTTCTACGCTTACCTGTACAAGGTACAAGGTTTTATAGTCATCTATGTTGGTTTCCCTACGCTCCTTATAATGTTTAGTTTTTCGTAAAACAACCATATCTGCCATTTTCCGAAATACTGTTCCATCCAACAGAAGTTGCGTCTCCTTTATAGCAGACGCATCAATTTGTGAGCAAGTGCTCCATAATGTAAGTAAACGCTCTCTTTTATTCATATCATTTGCTCAAGTGTAAGCAGCTACTTCAAATTTAGAGCACTTGCTCAAGCTCCAACACCAAAGTATGAGCAAAACCGTTTGCTCACTGTTTTATTCATATATAGCGAAGCATATGCTCCAAAAACAACGAGTACGAGCAAATGCTCACTTTTAATCATACGGCCCATTGTCATAGTAGGAAAAAATAGACACCTCGTTTCCGTCCGTCTGTGTGTCGTCTGTCTATGTTGATTTTTACTAGACATATAATCTCCGAAACTGCCGGCCATATTCTTGACAAATTTTAGATATGTATTATGAATATCGTGTAAATGGTAAAACGCTAACCAAAGTTTTTATATTCATCCCCACCAAGAATATGATGAGCTAATTTCGAATTTCGCATCGTAAATGTTACTTAAAGTTAATAAAATAACATACGTCTGTATTTAAGGTTTATGAATCCGCTTTAATTTTGTTATTTTTATTATTTAATCCTCCTTTAGACACATAATACGAAGCTGAGCAAGCTTGCCTATTGGAGCCGCCACATGTGCATTTGCTTTGCATTTTAAAAGTAGATGGGTGTCTAAATTTTTTCTTATATGTATTATCTTGTTTCCATTACTTCAGTTTTGAAAAACCATGACCTATTGGATTATATTGCTAATGTTATCTTTCCAATATTCGTAGCATCATTTATAATTAAGGATTATGGAAAAAAGAAATATAAACAACGTAAACTCCCTGCTCACCTTTCATCACACAACGTAATTAATTATGATTTTCATATCACGGTGTATTGGAAAACTCATATCGCGGAGGCGTTTCATTATGAAAGCAAAAACCTTTAGAACTTCATTTTAATAAACTGAACAGTTTTTGTTGGAAAGATAAAACGTTTGTTTCTATAAAAAAAAAAACAGAACAAGGCTACAACGCTTGTGATTTGGTGACACAAAAAATATGTATTTCCCAAATGTAAACCTACTGTTTCCATTTTGTGGTCTCAGAGACACTGGTATCTGTTCTAAGTGTTTTTATTTCATGTTCATGTGTCTGTTATTGTTAAAAATTAAAAAAATATAATGTTATTTACTCATTGTTAAAGCAGCTTTTTAGAAAATTAATTAAAAACCTCCCGGTAAAAATATAAAAACTTGTTTGCTCAACTGCGGTATTTTACTTGCGCCTTCAACATATTATGAAATCTCTTTTGTGAAATGCAGATGCTCTCATTCCACGTTTTCATTTTTTTAAGTTTCAAATGAAAAGCTTGTAGCTGTCAACAACGACATATTCTCGTTGGACAAAAAATTACTTTTAAATATAAATCAACCTTTATATCCCACAATATAATTATTTCTTTGTCTGGTTTACTTTTTTGCTTGGAGGATCTCAGTCCGTGCGTTTCTAACCCCACAATGATGCGTACAAAACATAGTCAGGGACCTCTCGACTTCCAGCTAGGGGAGCTTACCCTTTGTAGGATAATATCCAGTTTTTTGTTGTATTATTTATTTGCTCACTTCCAGATTTTTATTACATGTTATCCGGGTTTAATGGCCTACTCGACATGTTTTTCTCATTTTTCTCGGCAAACTTGCTTAATGTATTTTTTCGTTAACTTTAGCTGATGATTTAATGAGGAATCGTTATGTACGTAGGGAGGGACGTAAAAATATAGTACTGCAGAAATGATGGATTGTTCTTTTTAGTCTTGTGTTTGTCGAATACTCACATTATGAAATGCGAGTCACGTAGAAGCGATTTTATTAGTTTTTACGCTGCAGTCGCTCAAATTTGATTCAATTATTCCGCATCATGAGCGCATTTGATTTTGCCGTAGTTAATAATCAAAAACAATATTGGAGGAAATTGGATGGCATTCACTTAAAGTTAAACCATTTATGAGGTATTTTAATAAACGAGAATTCATTCGTGTGCTTTTTATCAACAAAATTGCTTATACAGGGTGATTCTCATATCAGTTCACGCCTGAATACTTTCGTGTAAGCAACACATTATACATATCATAAGCAACTTTGATCAGTCTATTAATCTTTTTAAATTAGCAATCATAGTTTGTAAATGCAACAATACAAAAGTCACAGTATGTCATAATGACAACAAAGATGTCAAGCAACTAATAATGGCAAAATTTAAAGAAAATAATAAACGTAATAAATAGATATCCTGTAATAAATACTCAAACTGCCCACCTCATCCTTCTTCACACAGTGCTAACTGCGTTCAAAATTTCTACGTAGTCTCATTAGAATTTCGGGTGTTACATGAATATCTGTACGACACCATGATGCTTTCTGCTCAAGTGATCTTCATTTTGAATTGAAAGGGCTGAAATGGCATGGGTTAAATCGGTTTGTTCTGAAGATGTTAAAAACCGAACTCTGACTAATCTGCATTTGTGCATTGTGATCTACCTTTGACTCACGTGAGGATTTCTTCTATAGTTTCAATCAGGGCAGCTTTTTTGTTAAATTGATCAAGTTCTCTTTTTTTTTGAGTCTTCTGAATGCTTGATTAGAAGGACTTGTATCGCCTGGCGTGTGGACGAACGACAGGATCGAAATTTCCATCACACTTTCCCAAAGTTAAAAGCATATCGATTTTTTCGGAACTCGAAAACACTGGTAGCAAAAGTTGAAAATAATTAAGACTGTTAATTTGTCATAATTTTAGCGGAATCATTACCATTTACACGTCATTTATTATTTTTAAAAATTTAAGACGAAGTCGTCTATGGAAAGTAAAATGTGTTCCTTATTCGGACTTATCCAGGCGTGCACAGATAAATAAAAATAATCACCCTGACCTGCAGCTCTTATTTTCACCACCGTCTAGTTACTTGTCAACCAAGAATACGCCGTTTTTAAACAAAATTCAAATACTGACCTTTGAGCCTGTTTCTTGTTACTTATAAAAAATGCACTTAATTTAAAATGTTTTTGAAAATCTTAGTTCTCACGGAATTTCCATTAACATAGTTCAAACTTTAACCACCAATTTTTTTGTGGCCATAATATGCGTCAAATCAGATTTTTACCTGACATGAAATAAGAGTAAAAGGCCACGTTATAATTTATTAAGTAGTAAATGATTCGAAACTGCAAGATCGCAATTTTATAAAGTTTTTGAGAAAGGAAAATAATAGTCCGAAAAGCATACACAAGGAGATAAACCAACTGAATTTAAAACTGCAGAAGATGTGAAAGAATCTAAAGATTTAGTGCTTACAGACCGGACAAGGAAGCTGTATGTATTACCGGCATGGAGCTCTGTTTATTAGAAACAATTGTTTCGAAAACTTTACCCGAGATTTTTTTCAAATTGTTGAAGTAAAAACTGTACAAAACGTAAATTTGACGAGAATCTAGTTTTTTTTATGCGATTTTTTTCTAGGCCCGTTCAATAACGAGATCTGTATATCACAGAGACCTACTTGACGAACAAGAATTTGTGCAATTAGTTTTGGCGCGGCGGTATGATGAATGAACATTTCAGTGTGAGTGAACAATTCTGAAGATAACTACAAGATCGTTCATAAAACCTATAACCTTCAACAAATCGCAGTCAGTCTTCATTTTGCTCGTAATCAGTAGGAATAGTTATTTATAAATGAAAAAAACAGCAAACTTCCTGCAAGAAGGAAACTTCTTGTGAAGAGCTAAAGTATAATGTAAACATATATATATTAGGGATTCCAGATCGCTAGAAATGTCCAACAGCATTTTTTTGTCATTCAGGTGTATTCTTGTAATCACAAAAACTTAAAAATTATAATTTAATTAATTATTTAGGGTTTAGGGGATATGAACCGATTCGCCTTTCATTGCATCAGTACAATCCTACAGGGTTGCCATGCGTGCAAACGCTTTTCTAATAAGCACATATTATCACCAGATATTTCGCAGCTATGGTTGCAGTTTATGGCTGAAAGCCATACTACCGTGCACCTCAAGCTTTCGGAGAAAAAGTGTTTGGCACTGTGACAAACTAATTCACGAGGTCTCGAAGAAGTTAATGGGAACTTTACCATACACAATATTCCACCCGTGGTTATAAATACATATAGCGGAATCAGGTTCAGATGACTTGGAATTTGA